ATGCATTATCGCAGACTGCATTTTATTATTAAAGTTGGCACGTGCTTTCCATATGTCGCACCTAATACAGTAGGCACATTAATAAAATATTTTATTAGCACAACTAAATATTAGCCGTCCATATTTTACAACTGAAATTTAGTTGCCACATGCAGTTTTTAGTTACGGCAGCTACGTTTTTCTTTTCGTGTATTATACAAATGTCGATCGATGTATTATATTACATTATAAATTAAGGAAGCAAAACCAATATAATTTTGTTACCATAAATTTACTTTACATTCATGACACTTTTATATTGCTCGTTAATTACTTTCCTGGAGTGGTTTTAATTTTGTTTCTAAAACACTGTCTTGTCTCTATGTAAAATCGAATAAACATTTTACATATAGCTCAACGATTTTGACTATCTGACTTGTCATAAGCTAAACATATGTCTCTGAGGAAAGCGAAAATTGTTTTAAAATTGTGTATTTGGAGAGCTTATTTAGAGTATAAAAAATAGAAAGTTTCTTTAATGCATTTTTCAAGGAGAATGTATAATACTTACGCAGAGAGAATTTTCTCTTAAAATTTATCCTGAAAATCATGTAATCGTAGGACAACACGGCATTTCGAAGAATTTTAAGACAATTTTTTGAAATTCTACCATACATTTTTCTAATAATTGCGAAATGCCGTGTTGTCCCACGATTACATGATTTTCAGGGTCAATTTTAAGAAAAAATTCTCTCCGCGTATCATTCGATTATCGTCCCTAACACCTTAGAAGGATCAATTGTTCCAAGATCGAAGAAAGGTCAACGACGCGGCAATTCTGAATGAGCCTTTACTTCTATCGCCGTAGATATCGCGTTACATCAGTGCACCGGCCACGGCGCGCGTTAAGGCACCTAATTACACGTTACGTTCGACCCACACGCACGCACACGCGAGTAGATTACCGAATGGTAATGCTCTCCGCCGCTGGCTGTCTTGAGGGACAGACCGAAGGAAAGTGGGTGAACTCGGCTCGATTTTGCGGCGAGAAACCCGGCGCGTTGCTCACTCCACCTGTCTTCGTTTTTCCTTTCCCGTTCGCAGCTGGACCTCACGTTAAACCGAGATTAGCAGAGATTCATCTCGGATTCGGATGACGCCCGCGCGAAGCTAAAGTCGTCCGGCGATCTCGCGTGCAGCGAACAATTCTAAGACTTATTATCAGGGGACATCCACAACGGGAAAAATTAAGTCCGCTTATTTTTAGCTTCGGTTGGCCTTGTTGTACATTTCACTTTCCCCCCCCCTCTTCTAGACAAATCCGATATGCCTATTTCACTCTAATTGTACCGAAAGTAAAGCCAAACCTAATTCGACCAAAAATGGATAATAAGTAATTAACCAAAATTTCATAAGTTTTATCGACCTACACTGGCTATAGTGATTTTTGTTGACCGTATCAAGCTATTAAAATTCTTATTGCGAAAAATATTACCCCAGCCAGGACTCGAACCTGGGACCTCCCTACAATCCGTGACGGGCGTCTTAGTAAAGTAATTAACTCTTGGGCCAAGTTTCACAGTGGCTAGTTAGCTTAACTAGTTGTCAAGTAGTGATGCCTAACCACTGATACAAAATTCGGTAAGCTATTTACAAGGTTAGATTTTCACAAGTTGCATTTTCGCAAATAAGCTTAAAAAAATATATATATATACATATAATCTTGTAAATAGCTTATTGAATTTTGTATCGGTGGTTAGCATCGCTACTTAACAACTAGTTAACTAGCCACTGTGAAACTGGGCCTTAATTGCCAAAGGAAATACAAAGGATTAAATTTGTCAAGAGCAATCGCACGCGATTTCTAAAAATAAGCGACAAGAGATAAACGACGAGATGACTAATAATGAAACATAAATGCTAATCATTTCTCTATCGTCATGACGAAGCGTAGAGATCATTTTCGTGTCACCGCAGCATCGGAATATTAACTTGGGGAAATCTTATCGATGCGTCGTTAATCGCGACGCGCAAATAGCTATGCGCGTAATAGAGATAAAAGCCCTCGAGACGCGCTAACGATATGATAATGATATTTCAGTAAACACGAGCGATTTTTTAAGCTACGTAAATACATTGTTCCGTCGATGGAAACGGGGTGGCCGTTCGCCGTGCTGCGCGAAGTTATACGCGGCATGCGAGGTCGCGGATATAATCTAAGCGCGATCGATTTAATGTTCCGGTGGAAAAGAGCATTGTGCCATTTTGCTGGGTGAGCCGACCGAAATGAAAAGCTCTTTCTTGTGTATAACACGCTGAGCACGTAATCAGGATATAAGCGAGTTATAGTCGGACTGCTCTATAATTTAGAAATTTGCATGAAATATCACAGAGAGCATAAAAAATGTCTGAGATTGTAAAAACCGGCATTCTCTCGAGATGCTAGTAAAGCTCCATATATAGCTCAGCCAAGGTCACTTGTTAAATAATACACCTGGTTCCAGATAAAGATGATAATACGCCGTACATAAAGCTCCAGGTGTAAGAATAGCGATGTGTATAAAACTTTTACTACGTGCGTTATTAAAGACTCGAAGCATTCACGGTAATTCTGTTTCTTCCGTTAGCAAAACGAAAAAAGCAACTTCTTTCAAGTTTAGGTATAGAATTCATCATGTTTTAATCACTCTCAAATCCTCTCCAAGCATTTCGACGTATGAAACGGTATTTACCTACGGAAATTATTCGCTTGTAATCAAAGATTGATAAGAGGAATTCGCGGTTAGCTGCGGCATAATTAAAACTGCGTAATACGCGAGTATTAGAAAAGGCCATTAAGCTACTCGAAAAGATGCGTGTAAAAAGGACGCAGCGTGGGTGTGTAGGTACATTATCTCGATACTCGACGACACTCGTTGACAGCCTGTACTCCTGGATAGCGCGGAACAATTCGGTTCAAGGGCATCGCAGGTACTAGGTTACGCAGGCCACGGTCATCGTCAACGCACACGTGTGACACGATGCACCTTGCACAAACTGAAATCGCATCGATTCGATCCATCAGGCACGAGCCCTCCGAGTGCCGCGTTGCGGCGTGAAAAAAATTGTCGTTCGCAATTTTTCGGCTCGACTTGGCGTAACCCTCAAAGTTTTTACGCGGCTCCCTGCTCGGCACCTCGTTTATTTCACTTGAATCTGAACTTCTGTAAAACAACACGGTGTCTAACAACAAGATTCTCGTATCTGCACAAAGTTTTTACACGCAAGGTTCTGTATACCAAAGTGAGCTTGCTATTTCGGAAATTCGTAAGCTGCAATGGTGATAATTAAGCCTTCAATCGACCATAACTGGCAACGTGTTTTTAACACAGAAAATTTATTGCGAAAAATATTACCCCAGCCAGGGTGTTTTTGCAATAAATTTTCTGTGTTAAAAATACGTTGCCAGTTAAGGTCGATTGAAAGCTTAATTATTGTTAGTCATGTACTGGCGTCAAATAATTCTTGATGTTATTCAACGGTGATGTTTGTAAAATTGTCACTTTCAGAGGACGAAGGTCCGTTTACATACATATTCGTGACGTATCAATGCCGTGTCAGTGACGTGCGTGATGTATCAGTGACGGTTAATCACACCTATCCATACAGCTTGGATTCAGCGAGGGGTAAACCGCTGACGGCATTGTGGTGTACAGATTTGCGGCATTGCTGGGCATTAGTTTGGGCATTAGGCCTTGCTGGGGCATTACAAAGATAAAATTAGATAAAATTAGATGAAATAAAATATTATAATAAGATAAAGCAATGCCCACTGGGCATTGGTGTGCAAGATTTTGGCGCGGGGGAAACCGCTGACCAAAATCTTGTACACTGATGCCCAATGGGCATTACTTTATCTTATTATCTTTTTTTATCTTATTTTATCTTTTTAATGCCCCAGCAAGGCCTAATGCCCAAACTAATGCCCAGTAATGCCGCAAATCTGTACACCACAAGGCCCTCAGCGGTTTCCCTCTCGAGTTTCAGTAATTTTCAAGATAGCTCAAGTTTACGGACGACGAATTGGCAATGACTCTTATAACTTTACATGAAAACAAAGCAAATATAAGATTGAACGGCCCGAATACGGGACTGTGTCGGACGTGTGTGTGTGTGTGTGTGTGTGTGTGTGTGTGTGTGTGTGAGAGAGAGAGAGCGGCACGTCCATTATAAAACAAGAAGACAATATTTGTCATCGCTGATACTGACGGAACTGAACAGACACGTCACGGATATATGTGAATGTACCTTCATGCGCCTAAAACAATTAAATACACAATTGCAAACAAAAGCACGTCCCGATCAATAGACGTAGGATGCGAACAAGGGAATTGCAAAAGATTCGGATAAGAAATCGATTAACTGCGCGATCTCAGAAATATTTGCTGATTTTCATTAACATCCAACACATTCTCTTTGAAGGCGCATCGCAGGAAATAGAACGCATTTTAGATTGCGCTTAACAAAGCTTTTCAGCGGAAAAGAAATTTAGCGATAGTCGCCCGAGATTCCCGGCTTAAAGAAATTATAAAAGAAACACGTCCTTGTTAGGAAATAAATTTAGGGCGATAACACATTTCATTTATTGTATCCTCGAGTGAAAAATGACCTTTGTATATATTATAATTATTTAAACAACCGTACGGTTTCTATAAATTTGGCCGCATGTTGCGCAGAGCATTTTAATATTTTCAAGTAAACAAATGTCAGTACGAAAAAGGCAGGGAATAACGAAGTAACTCGATAACGATCGGCGTTAAAAAATCGCTTCCGTTAAGCGTGCAATCCGTAGATCCCACCATAGGTCTGTGCTTTATGGCTGAGCCGCCTGCACTAGTTGAAAGTCGATTGTTTTCCTTCCGTTAGAAGGAGAAATGGAAGAATAGACCCGTACATTGATTTCGAGTAAAAGATTCAGCCTACCTTGTCGTCGAAAGCCTCGACGGGGGTCCGTTGGACACCGTTCATCTTTCAACGGGCTGACCCTCCTAACGTTAGGACCCACTCACAGTTTTTGGTCCTGCACCTGCACCCAGTCGACTGTCGTGGATCGACAACGAGCGAGCACGATGTCCGATGTCACTTTTCACTCCGCGGCCGACAGTTCGCCGCGTCGATAACCTCCATTTCTCGTTGTGTAGACTCGGGAACTCATTCGCGCACGGTCCCGCGAGTCCCGCGCCGCACGCTCGCGAGATCCGCCACCGGCTAACTGTACGGTATATCGATATTAGTATCCGGCAACCGAATCGCTACCGCCGTGGCCGCAGACAGTGGCAGTTGGGGAGAAGACGCCGTCGCGACATTTGAGCGAGGAGCGCGCGTTACCGTCTGCGAGACGCGAGATTTGAAACGCGGCGTCTCGAGGGCGCGCATGCGCGCCGCGACGCACGCGAGCACGTGCTATCTCGGGGAGCACGCGTTTGTTTTCGCCGACCTGAGGGAATTAGCGCGCGGAAGGTGGGCAAAAGAAGAGGCGTGAGAAGGACGTGTGTCGCTAAAGTAAATAGCACGTATTACGAAAATGGAGGAACGTCTTCGTTCGTGTCTTACGGCGATTCCTTTCAAATAGTAATTTATATCGCACGTGTAATATATTGTCTTTTCACTCTCTAATCATCGTCCTCGTTATCACGACTTTTTCATGTACCTTTACATTTCGTAATATCCACTTAAAAAAAAATTCAAAATAAAAAGACTAACTTGTACGTGATTATTTTAACAACGATGAATATTCGCAATAATTTATTTATTAAATAACAAATAATCAATTTATTAAGTTAAAGTGACTCTATTCTTTTTAATCGACACGTGCAATATTAAGAGATGCACCACCTTGTGTGATTCTCTTCAAATCTAATTAACTTGTGATGTAAAGAGAAGGAACTATTTGAAAGTATAATTAATTGAGCGAGAAATCGAAAATATTCACAGATGCCTTTTCTTGATAATCCAAATATGACTTAGTTAGCATTGAATTGCGTGTTGAAAGCAGTCTTTGCATCGCCATTGCTCTAATCCAATTATCACACTCTGTTTTATTTTATCTTGCAAGATATTATTAGAGACGAGAGCTCGTAACGTCTGCTAACAATGATCTTCTAACTTACACGGTGTTCACCTATAAGTCGCTATCGCAGCCTCAGGCCGGTTCTACGTTGATCGTATCGTAGCGTCGCAAGCGCCGCAAATCATAGATTCGACCAATCAGCGTTGAATTAGAACCAGTCTACGACCCTTGCGACGCTACGATGCGACCAATGTAGGACCGGCCTGAAGCCCATATCAGGCTACGGATTGAGATTGGGATTAGATTGAAATTTGACCAAGCACAGTAAAGTTTACTAATCACAAGTTTAGTAACTTTTACTCTAATTGGTCAATTTTCAATCTAATCTCAATCCGTAGTCTGATGCGGGCTTTACGAGCATTTGCGTTCCTAGACACACTTTTAACTGCTTATCGCGAAATACGTGTACGCGCGAAGCTCACTTTATCCATCTGCAAACCACGATGCGCTACCATCGGCGTTTCGAACATATTAAACGATCGTCGTTACTATAACCTACGTCCAATCGATCTCTTTATTGTTACATTCGTATCTTTAGCTTTACTAACGCAGCTACTGATTTTTTTTCAACGTGCAGACGAAGTTAATGCCCTCCCTGTTATCGTCGTAAACGGAAACTAATGCTACAAACATTACACGGAACAAAACGCAGTTGCTCGAGTGAAACGTTAACGTCACGGACTGCCACAAACATAATTCACTGAATTGTAATTTTAAGCATTGCAATATCCAGATTATTGCAACTATCTGACGTTTCTCATTCATTAATGCGGATGTTGTTTCCATGATTTTGTTTCAATTACGCCGATCTTGTTGGTACTTCATTTTTTTCCCCGCGTACGAATGGAGGTAAACGCGCAATGGATAAGTGCGTAGGCATTTTCGGAATGACAACTGCCCGTATTTCTTCGCGTATGGAAATTTCGAAACGACGTTTAAGCGCCGATGTGTTACGCGTTCGCGAGGAAAGCGCGAAATATCGCGTTCAGAGGCGTGAAATAACCCGTCCGCGGGTACGGGGCGGCCATAATGAGAGGAAAGGAGAGGTTCCCGGCGCGAAAGACTTTCAGGAAGACACGCTCTCGGATACTTCAGCTGCTCGAAAACCCGTCGATGTATCCGATGTCTGAGGGGGAGTACAGAACAGGTTTAAGAACGCTGCGGCTGACCGAACTTCAAATCCGCTCTTCTACGGCCGAAACACCGGGATCGATTCGTTCCTCTTTGCAGAATCACGCACGGCAATCGAAACTATCGTAATTTCGGCGAGTTCTTACGCTACGAGAAACTAACGTTGGACCTCGTCGACGGCGATAAGCGAGAAGGTGATTCCGAGTCGAATCGCTTTGGAATTTCTGTTAGGCCGACTCCGAAAAAAAAAGAGACGTGATTTTGGCGAATCGAGTTCTAAGACACCGAGAATTCGATGGTTGCGTAAGATAAGATAAGTAAAACGTGCGATAAGATACGGAAAATATTTTCTCACGTCAATTTTTGCAGTTAAATATAGAGTTTGCCGTCGCGTTCCGGCGTGGAAACGTGAACTCACCGAAATCGTACCGGTTTCAATTCCCGGTTCCTGACACGCAGGTAACGCGAATGCGACTATCATGCGTGACGGCGTGTCCTGTACGCGCCACGCAACAGCTGCGCATTGTGAAAATAATCGCATGGGATTATAGAAAGGACAGTCGGCGCGAGGAAAGTCTTCACTATGCAAATTACACTCGTCGAGAGGCAGAAATGTCTCTAAAGTATAGCTTGTTATCAGCGCGCGTTTCTCGTGAAAGCGACGCTGCGTTACGGCAAGGAAGAACGCTCTCTCGTAAACGCGGCGGAAATTATTCGAAATAAAAGTAACAACGGACAATTGTCAGTCGGGCCGGAGAGCCGGGTCCGTTTCCACCGCGCGGAATTTAACTCGACTCGCGAGGGTTATTCCCCTTCGATCCTATCTCGGCAACGGATTTACTTCCAGGTAGCGCAACTTTCGGACGGGAGTGTCGATCCTCGCAGAACACCTCGTCCCGTGGACAGGTCTCACTCACTTTCCCATATACCGAGTGTCGAACACCATGCGACAAACGAAATTTCCGTCTCGTCCTACGAGCGGGGGGCCGCTCATCTCGATCGCGCGCGCTCGCGCGATCTCCTCGCGGAATCGGGGATTCACCCCCGACGTGCCCGGTGGGTTCGCGGTGTCATCGTTCCCGCGGAACGTGTGGAAGGGTGAGAGAGAGAGAGAG